TTTGTTTATTTTAGAGGTTCACAAAATTAGTTCTCTCACAATTTTCCTTAATTTTCCAACTGGGAAATCACACTTCAGTATACCTTTTTTATCCATTATTTTAGATAGTTAGATACTAAGAACTCTTTGCCTGTTTTGAGGTGTCTTTGAAACAAGAACACTTAATTTTGTATCTTGAGGAACACCAACAATACAGCTTTTCTAGATTTCCCTTTTACCATATGTTTTGATTAGTAATTCTTATTATCACTTCTAAATGTTCTTTGCTATGTTTTTAAATTTAATTTCATTCAGAACAGTTTAATTTAATTTAATTTTCCCATAGATATTTTCAGTTTTTAAAGAATATTGCATTTGTGTCATTCTGTTCCAAAGAATCAAATGTTTAATTTCTAAACATCTGATATATTTACATACCATAATAATAGTATAATATCAGGCCAAGCTCTGGTTAAAGTAGCATAGGACTATAGCACTACATCTGAAGGCAGACATTATTTCCCTTGGACTAATTATCTTATGTCATTTAAACTTTCTCATTGACTGGAAATAGTTGGTCGTCCTCAAAATATAATTGTAACCTATAATTTTTATTTATTTTATCCATGTTTCATGCACATATATTTTCACAGGCTACAAGCATACATTTTTATAATTGTTGTTCTTTGACATTCTCTTTCAATTTAATAACCATTTTCGTTAGTGGTATATTATTTTTCTGTAAATACAGAAGAATTTCATTTAATGATAGGCAAAATCCAAAGTAAAACTAATATTTCTAGCTATAACCCTGTTGCCTGTTCAAAACAGACAGAGGATGTGGCAATATAGAATTTTCAGCAGTTTTTTAAAAATAGATAAGTGTTTTTGCTTTCTTGTATAGTCAGACAGTTTACATGTATAACAGAATGAAATAAAACATTTTTTGTTGGACAATATTCCATTTTTTCTCTATGAGGAAATGCTTCATGGAGCGCATTAAAATTATCATATTACGGAATACTTTCCAATTAGAAAATCAATGCAGGTTTTCTGTGAGCAGATATAAGATATTTATGTATCTTATAATTCAGATTTGCTATTTTTGTACCTATAACCCAAAACTATAAACTTATGAAAAAATTATACATTCATTTTTAAAAAAACATATGCAGGTTTGTTTTTTTAAAAAAAGATGTGCTGTACATAAAAAAACCCATTTTGTTGCATAGAGAAATCACTATACATTAACTTAATTCAAGGTAGTTTGTGCCCCAGTAAATTTCCCATATGGTTATTTAAACAAAAACCTTTGTTTCACTTAATGGAAATGTTGTTAATGGTAGAATTGGTATTTTTCACCAGCACTTTCAGAAAAAGGTTGGCAATATTATTTGTTTTTCTTGTAGATATACTTAAATATGCAGATCCAAATAATATATAAAACAAAGGAAATGTTTCAAATTCTATATATCATGCTGCTCAGTCATACTTTTCAGCATGTAATGAAAGGCTTCTTAAAATAATAATTTTCATGTTTTAAAAAAAAGAATCTGAAAATAGCACTTGCATTGCTGCTGCAATATCTTTCTGCTAAATATTTTATTGATTTGATTTGATTTTGAAGCCACCAAATTCCACAGTGACAATTTAAAAAAAAATAACACATATATCAAAAAAGAACATCGTTTACTAATAACTGTTATTGTCCTGTTTTTGCATTTCCATCAAAATAGTATTTAAGGATGCTATATTTATATTATTAACTTCAAATAATAAAATATAATAGTATAAATAAACATGAAACAAAGACAAAGTTCTTTGAAATTGCAAAATCTAAATGTATCTGAGCAGAAGATTGAACAGAACAACCTTATTGGTCCAATGTCACCCAACCCACAATCGCTTAAAACAATATGGAACTTAATTTTGCAATTAAAGGACTGTAGCATTTTTTCCAATAAATTTTAGACAGGCTACAGATGTTACCTTTTTTTTGTCCTTGTGCATCTCTATTCAAATAAATTTAGCAGGTTATTGAAAGACTAGGAAAATGAGAAAAAACAATGAAAACTGTAAAATCTATTTGATGAGGTGAATGTACACATTACAGGGAATTACCCTTAGTTTTGATGTTTCAGGGGAAAAAATATTTGTCTCTCACGTTTGCATAATCAAAGGATTCCAGCACCCATTGGAAACTAGAAGAACTAAAAGCTCAGTCATCAGCATATATTTCCCCAAGTTGGTAGCATCTCTAAACACTACTAATTAAACCTTTCTTTAAAGTCCTTCAAACAAATAAGTATCACCATAATTATTAGCATCTATAGTTTGGCGATTTGGAAGTCAATTATAAAACTACCCATGGGTAAGTCTTCCCTCTCTTCAAATGACATGTTAAATTCTGTCAACCTTTTTCCATTCATTCCAAAATACCTGATGCAAGCAATCTTCATGCCTCCTTCAATTAGGGAAACTTCTCCCCACTTTCCTGAATATTGCAGGTGAGCTACATGTTGTCTCTGTTAGTCGGAACTTTTATATTCTGTATGTCTTTCCTGAAAGTTCAACTACTGTAGAAGGAAAAACAACAACCCTGGGAATTGGTGAGTGCGTAGGGCAGTCCCTCAGAATTGTCAAACAACTGTGTGTACCCAAGAGATAGGTTGAGTTGGTTAGAATATCTGAGCTATACCAGAGGGTAGCACTGAATGGAACTCTAAAAGGAGGTAGAGATGGATTGGGAAGTGGGACAGAATGGTTGAAATCACTCATGATGGTTTGTCATTATTTATGTGGGTGGAGAGATAGAGAGGGTGAATACATATTTGATTTTCACTTGAAAAGTAAGTATTGTTTGTATCCTTCAAATTCTACTCTGGTTTTAGAGGAAATGTCCTTTGTTTCTCAGAGTGTGATGGGTAACTAATAGCATAAGAATGGGAAGGGCAGGCAGCTCCCTTCCTTCTAACAATCTCTATGGCATGGTTCCCAGGCAGTCCTGCTCATGCTGTCCTCTTTTTCACTCTGTGTGTGTCGGGCACCCCATGCCTTTTTTTGAAAAACTAACACTAGACCATTCATGCAATGTGTCATTTTTACTAACCGACTAATGTACTAACACCCTAACGACTCATCTTTGCTTTTGGTTATTTTAATTAACAATCGTTCTGTTCACAATTTTTTAATTTCCTTTCTTCCCCCTTTTCCGCAAAGCACTCAGGCATTGGACACGCTATGGTAAACAAACTACATTGTCTGGTAGATATCATTCTTATTGTCTCTTTTTTTGGGTTTGCCGTGTGTTATCTTCCTTTCCCTCTCCATCTCCCATCCCCTATTTTTCTTCCCCGTTAAATTTACCTTCTCCTCCTTCTTCTTCTTTTGATTTTGCTGTAGCTACCTTTTCTTCCTATTTGTATTTTTATATATTTTCCGTAAGACAAAAACAAAGGAAAATAAATACAACTGTTCCGGAAATGGGATTTAATTATCTCTTTTGCTGGCTTCTTCACTTTATCTATTTTAAAATATTTTTTATTCTATTTTTGTCAATATTTTGCTAATCCCTTTTCTTTCTTCCCTTCAGTTTCCCCCCCTTTTTTTAGTTTGGGGAGGTGAGATTTTCTTTTTTTTTCCCCTTTTTTTGATTTTCTGAAGGTTTTTAACTCAACTACCATGTCAGGGCCTATGGTTTGTTATGGTGAGCCCAGTCTTTTTCCCTTCATTTTTTTTTGTTCTAATAACAGCTATTATAGGCAAAACTGGGTCAAGCTTCCCTCTTTTTTTCTCACTCCATCTTAACCTCTTCATCGGGCCAGCCTCCACACATATTCTTCCTCTGTCTTTTTGAAATTCCACCAGCCATAACCAACAGAAGCTCAGCCAGTTGTTTGTTTCAGGGCAATATATACGCTGCATGGCATGTCTATGTCTGGTTAATCCCCACCTCCTTTCCCAACCATCATACTGCAGCTACCTCTCCCAATCTCTTCATCACGCCACTAATCTAACTTTTAAATCACATACATATATCATTTTCACAACCTTCCTTTCCTGTCCCTCCCTTCTGTTTTCCATTGCCCTCCATGAATTATGGGGTTTGGACTATTTTTAGATTTTTTAAATTTAGTTTTCCTTTCTTTTAAGCCTTGGGTGGTTTTTCTCCTTTTGTAGTTTATGGTTTCATTAAGGATTGCATGCAAGTGTGAAAAAAATCTCTTTCAGGATACTTCTTGTCCTTCTGGATTTTGAAAAACACTGGCATGGGTGTGCTGAGGTGCAGAGTGTGAGCACGTTTGCCAATTTGTTTTCTCTTGTTTTCAAATTCACTTTATATTTTTTATTTTTGCTGGTGTATGGTTGACTTCTTTCTTTTGTTTTTTTTTAATCCTGATTTTTAATTTTTGTACTTTTTTTTTCTTTTTAAGTTGCAGGACTGGGTGGTGGTGGGCATCTTTGTAGGCACATAGCATGTTCATCCATAATGTATTGAAAGTGAGATCCCTTTCCTTCCTCCCTTCCCTGAATGCATGATCATTTGTGTGCTGTGAGCCAAATAAATACAAAGAAGCAAAATCAAATATATCAACTTCATTATTAGTGTCTTTGCTAACAGTCATAACTAACAATAATCACTACCGATAATGGCTAATCAATCATACTATCAGCTCAGATAAGCGCTCCCGTCCACTAACTGCTCCATTTTCTGGCCTTATTAAATGGAAGCCATCATGGCAGGTAGAATAGCTCTCTTTGGCCGTAGCAAAGTTGAACTAGCAAAGCAGGTGATTAAGGACTTGGAGTGGAGGGACAAAAAGCAGACCAGAAAATGGAACTGAGCTGCAATGAATCAACAAAGTACGGCAAAACCTGTCCTAAAAGTTTTATAAAAATAGGGAGAGGACTTGCTATTTTAAGAACAGTACGATCATTGCTGGGAATTTTGTTTTTTCTTTTCCCTTTTTTTGTTTTGTTTTGTCCATTGCATCCTTCAAACAGGTGACAATCTCTGTGGATGGAATCCTCACCACTACTGGCTACACACAGGAGGATTATACTATGCTTGGCTCAGATGACTTCTTCTATGTTGGTGGAAGTCCCAGTACAGCTGATTTACCTGGATCTCCTATCAGCAATAACTTCATGGGTTGTCTGAAGGAGGTAAATGTTTCAAATGAACAGCATTATTTTGCTTTGTATTCTTTGTTAAATAACTTCTTTGTCTGCCACATATCTTTCTTTCTTTATTGAATATCATACATGAATATCATTGGCAAACTTAGCCTGTCCTCATATAGCTGAATGAATCATCCATATGTAAGAGGAAAGCGCACTGACAATCTTGAAGAAATCGTAAGGTTTGCAGAAGTATAATAATATTGAAGAAAAATACATTAAAGAGTTCCAGGAAGACAGAAAAGTCTGTTTGACCAGGAAATATTGACTGCTCTGAAAATAAGAGGAAATGGAATGGGGTATCCCAGTATAAAGGGGCACATTGGGTGGGCTGAGTTTTTTGTAAATGACATTAGATGAATACTGTATTAAATAAAGTGGGTTCCTTAGTGAAATCTGCTTCAAAGAAGATTTGCAGTTTCAATGACAGCAGTCAAATCAGCAAGAGTGATGGCAAAGAAGGATTTAATAGGAATATTGAGATAAGATTTGATTTAGGTGGCGAAGAAAAGAATTGGCTGTTTATGATAGAATATGGCTTGGAAAGTGCTGAAAGATTTTTTTTAGAAATGAATTACTGAAATATGTGGGAACATGGGGGATTTAGAGGGAAAAAAGTTGCAAAAAATGTAGTAAAAGAGTTGCAAAAAATGAAGTAAAAGAGAACAAGATGAAAAAGGCACAATTTTCATAGAAAATTTTTAAAAATGAGGGAAAAAGGCTAAACAAGGAGCTCTACCAGGTTGAGTGGAATGGAACCCCCCCCCCCTGCAAATTATATTTGAAACTAAAAGAAAAAAATGATGGAATAAGCATTTAGAGGTTTACAAATGTGTGATAGTGATCCATCAAAGAGTAAAACTGAAATGCATGCTCTTTTAGTGTCAAAAAAAAAGGTGAAACTATTGAATGGGTAAGATGCAGAGGTAGATGGGGAAAATGCTAAAATATGAATCTAATATTTTTTTGAGTGATGCACAACTTGTTTAACATCTATGCAAAGATTGCATCTATGCCTGATTATTGGAATAATAATAATTATTGCCATTATTCCCCTTTATTACCTCTCTGTAACAAGTAGTACTATAACCACCACTAACACCTGCAGTAATTCTGATGCCTTTGAAGCCCACCATTAACTTCATGTATATCTGGCTTGTTACTTCTCTTCACAGTATTAGATCATTCAAACAATCTGAAAAAAATAGATGAAGGTTGGCATCATGTCTAGAGTCCCTGGGATTCAATAGTTGCACATGCTGTGAGCAGAGAAGAATTCTGGTCATAATCTCCCCATTCTCAATTGAATCAAAGCTATAAAAACATGGTTCAAAATCAGATTTGGAACAACTGAATTGTCTCCTTTAAATCCATGCCATTTTTTTATCATCCATTTCAGACAGAACGGTTTTTACATCCAAGCTTTGAACAGATGATTAATGGTTTAATTTCTAATAACTTTACATTTTATGGAACCCTGCTATGTCTCTGCATCTGGTGAACCAAGCTATTTAAAGCTGTGTTAATTTTGCTAATTGCTCTATGTTTATTTAGATGACTGGCACCTGCAGGTTTTGGGATCATGTTTAGGGCTTTATAGTCTCCCTGTTCCTTAGTGAGGAAAATGGACAGGATAGTTTCCTCAGTTAAAACCAATAACCTTGGTAGAAAGTCCTAAATCATGTTTGCCCTTAACTCCATTATCTATCACAGCTGAAAGCAATGGTTCAGAGTAAAGGATGTTGGCATGTCTAAGATAGCAGTCATACTATTAAGCAACCATTTACTATTTCAAGAAGGTGATGGTCAGATCAGAGAAAAAGCATTTGAAAGAACACCACTTTGTTTTTATTATTTATCAGATTTGTTAGCTACCAAAAGTTTCTGACAAACAACATATAAAAATAGTTGAACAAGATATAAAAATACAATAAATATAAAAAAACTAAATAAAATATATGCCCTTAAACTTCTGGAAACACTCTTTATTCAGCTTTTACCAGAAGTCATATTTTCCAGAAGACCACACTGAAGACAAACTAATCTCCATTAGGAGGTCATTCCAGAAGGCCAGTCCTATCAGCAAACAGCAGACTTTACCCTTTTTTTGAAAATGTGGAAATCAATGCTTCTCCTGTTATGAGCATAGTTGTTGGGCTGATATTAGTGTGGAGACGTGAGATAGCCAGGTGCCAAACCACAAAGGTCTTTATAGGTCAATGACAGCATTTTAAATTGCACTCGGAAATTAATAGGAAGCCAATGCAAGGCCTGAAAACAGGTATAAAACCTGTTCAATGTTCAACTTATGTGAACACCCTGCCTATTGCATTTTGCACCAACTGAAGCTTCTGGGTGGTCTTTGTAGAGCGGGTTCCAGTGATCTAAATGGGCTGGTGATGAGAGTATGAGGCACTGTACTCAGATCTCTCACTTCAAGCTGGGCTGCAATTGGTAACCAGCCCAAGCTGGGCAAAGGCTTTTCTGGCCACAGCTTCCACCTGCTGGTCTAACAGGAGGTAGGAGAACACCCAAATTGCAAATCTGCTTCTTCAGAAGCAGGGTGACTCCATCTAGAGACAAAACAAAGGGCGTAAAGCACACCCTATATATAACAGTAGCTCAGTCTTGTTGGCATTTAATTTAAGCCTGTTCTCTTCCATCCAGACCTACAGGCTTGCCAGGCACCAGGACAGGAGTTCAGTGAAATTTCTGACCCAGGTTGGGGTTGTATGCAACTGGGTATTATCAACGTATTGATTCCAAACCTCCCACAGTATAGAGGGCAGATAAATGGCCTTAAGAGGCATAAGCAAAAGCTACTACCAAGGGAAACAAAAGGGGCCTGTGATAAGAGTAAATGTCTCAGAGACTTCACATGAAGATAAAGGGAGGCTTGCAAGATTGTAATAAAAACACAACTTATCTATATACCAATGGTTTCCTAGTCTGGCTTTTCTTAAGGGCTGACACCCAGTGAGTTCATATAAATATTGAATAGCAAGCAGAAAATCACTGATTCCTAGGTATCCTGCAAGAAGCAAACATGATGCTGATCTTTCTCCCCCCAAAATTACCACTGACTGGAACCAGCTGCTGGGGAAGGAATAGAACCACTGGACAACAGTACCCCCAAACCCTAGAGCCCAACCAGAGGGGTACCAGGATTGAGAGTGTGCTGGAGCAATAGGCCTCAGATTTGGAGAAAAAAAACCTCTAGTAAATGCCATCAATCTCCCAGGTGTACTGGGGGACTTGTGCCATCTCCTCATCCCACCATGCTGAGGAGGCCTGGGCCCTCTCCCCTGTGCTCTGCTTAACAACACATTTGGTCACTTAACAATTACAATTGAGAGAGCTGGAATTAGGGGTGTTGAGCGAAGTGGTCACATGGTGTTTCATTTAATGACTGCTTCACTCACTTGCTGAGATTCTGAGCCCAATTGTAAGTGGAGGATTACCTGCACTGAGATTTCAAATCTCAACATTACTCATCAAATAAAGTGACTAATGTCTCTGTTTTCTGCCCAAGCCAAAACTCTTAATTGATATAGGTCTAGATGATCCTTTTCATCTAGGAGTTCCATAGTTGTCCCCATGTTAGATGTGAAACCCCAGGTCCAGATGTAAAGGTTCAATTAAGCTGATTTATTGCTAAAAGCCTATGCACAGGAATCTTCTCAACTAATGGTCAGCACCTGGTTAGAGTTAAATAAGGGCCAATGTCACTCAAGGGGATAGTGATCTTAGTTTGCTTGTGGTTGCATAGGGATTCTTTTCACTCTGCCCCCAAGTTCTGCCATTCCTTCTAGAACCCATACCTTTGTCACAACAATCTTTGGAATAAAGGAAGGTTGGAGACCAAGCATGGTTATCTAATATCTTCAGATCCAAAGAAATTAGAATAAAATAGATGTAGACAGATGATTACTTATATATTACCCCTCAGGAACTTGAATTTTCTCTTCTTTTTTTTGCCCCTGCATTCTTTTCCAATTTTCTTGTGCTGTTTGTAATGCAGTCAAGAGTATTAACAAGAGGGGGTGATGCTTATGGAATAATATAAGATCAAACAAATAGAGTCATTTTTATTTTATTTTTATTGTGGTTTTATTATTATTTGTTTTAATATGTCCAGTCTTAAACAGGCTGCTTGCAAATAAGGGCTGCTTGTGCCCTTTCCTATAATAAGGAGTAAGTGAATATGTGTTTTTAATGGGTAAAGTGTGGGATTAGAGCAAGCAACAGAAGGTGGGGCAAAATTTACTGCCAGTCTTAAAAGTTTAGATTCAAAAATTTACATATATTTACCAGTTACTGACAAGTTAATTTGCTATGTTTAATTTTAAAGTGGTAAAATCAGGTAAATTATTATATGTATATGAAGCAACAGCATTTTGAAACAGTACCTGTCATTTTTTAAAAACTTATAAATGAAGAGACCCCTATAGATATATAGTCTTAATCAAAAATATGTGAAAATATTTAACTCAGGAAATTAATGTAACTTTAACTCAGGAAATTTTTAAAGCTAAGACATGGGAAGAAGCTCTGCTATTTATTTTCCTGTGGCTATTATTTGTGAGAGCACTCCTTGTTCTGAGCACTCTCAGTCTGTCTAGGACTGTCTGCTTCTAGAAATATTTGAAGGAAGAGAATAGATCTGAACTATCTCTGAACAATGGACTGCTGCTAAGAAAAAAAGATGATTCATTATAATGTTCTTAAGAGTAGCTTAAACACTGAAGGCAGAAGAACACCTACCTAAGCTTATATGTCCTTGCCTTTTAAACTGTATTCCATTTTTCATTTCACTTTATTACTATGAAACATTACCACATATCTATAGTCTCATCTAACCCAGCATTTTGGTTATGGTTATGGCCATGTGGTTCTCCCTCTCTCATTCTTTTTTCCTCTTCATTTTTTAAATCTGGTTATTAACTGAGGGATTTTTCCTAGGGAGTAGGATCATGAAATACAGT